AGAAGTAGAAGTAGAAGTAGAAGTAGAAGTAGTAGTAGTAGTAGTAGTAGTAGTAGGTAGAGGTAGTAGTAGTAGTAGTAGTAGTAGTAGTAGTAGTAGTGGTGGTAATAGTAGTAGGAGGAGGAGGGCAGGAGTGGCAGGAGCAGCTTTTGTCACCGCAGCCGTCTTTCATGGTAGGAATAACAATGCAAAATTCGTATTTAAACATCGCATACTAGTAGAAGCCACATCGGCAGCAGTAGTAGAACTAGAACAGCCGTAGCAGGGAATTTTGGAGACCCTGCCTTGCAAGGGCCTCACTCGGAGGCATGGCCTTGTGCCCTGTACCAAGGCGCAGATCTGCGAATGCATAAATATCAGTGGGGGAAGGTTGCACGGCCCCACTGGAATCGGAAACTCGAGGAGTCCCCGTGGGTATGTCCGGGCCCACACCTGCGCGGACAGGTAGGAATTGACATGCAGGGCAGCTAGAGGTTCGGGGCAACAGCTTGCGACAGCATCACATGCTGTAGATCGGAAAAGGAAACTACGGGAATTAAGTATACATAACGGAGCCTCGCACCCACACGTCACACAGTAAGGGCGAGCAACATGACTACGATGGCTGGGGCGGCGGCGAGGACAAGGACGGTGATGATGATGATGCTGCTGCTGCTGCTGCTGTCGACGTATGGTTGTGTTGATGATCGTTGTATGTTCGCTGTATGGGAGATGTCCATGGTGACCATGATTGCAGACGAAAATGAAAACTCTGTTGAAACTGATTGATGTGAATGTGGTGATGGGATGTTGGTCATGGTCATGAGAGTGGGGAGTAGTAGACTGTCATGACCAGGCGGCAGCATTGGTAGTGGGGCGGTACTAATTGTTGTGAAGACGATGTTGGCGGAGATGATGGGCTATTCATCTGACGTTAACGAGGTGAGGGCAGCGGCCAGTGGCTGCCACCAACAAGAACCAATGGAATTGGGAACGAAAGGTCTGAGAAGCGTTCCTTTGAGGGGTTTAAAGTTTAGGGTGTACGGTTTAGGAGTTTGGGGTTTAGGGTTTAGGGTTTAGGAGTTTGGGTGAGGCCGTTCTGGCAGTTCTTGCGAGGCAGAAAGAGTACGCACACACATCGAAGCCCTGAACCCGCTTTTGAGCAGGGGCTGCAGCGCACACTTGCCCCGCTTGTTCAGCTGCCGCAATGTTTGCAACGACTGATCGGGGACTACTCGAAGTTGGACTCCAGTGCATAAGACGTCAAGCCCTGCACCCCGAAACCCTAAAGCCCTAAAAACGCTAAAAACACAAAAAGCCCTCAAACCCGAAATCCCCCCAAACAAAAACCCTAAACACCCGCAGCCTGCTCCGCTAGCGGTGGAGCCCCGGCAATCTTCGGAAAGACTTTCACCACGGAGCCCTCGGGCATGAGCCGGAAGTCTGCCTTCGCAAGCACCTGCGTTTAGGGTTTAGGGTTTA